TTGTATGCATTCATTGAAAAAACAGATTGACAAGAGCCATGCAGAATAATTTTCCTCTAGGACTTACATTTTTTTAAATGAGGACACCATCTAAACAAAAGCAAATTTCAAACCTTGTTCATGAAGCATGAAATAGCCTTAATTAATTAATTAAATTTTGAAACTAAAGCTTTGCAGTCTGCAAGAGATTATCACATCTCTCTCCATCACATATAGTAGTAATTAATTGAAAGGTTAACAATAAAGCCTAAAGATGACACATCTGATAAGAGCCATATTAAAAACCAAAACAAGGAAACAAAAACACCATCCAAATGTGCTACTGTTTAATTTTTAAAGGGCTAGTACACAAACTATTCTGAAATGTATTTTAGTTGCTGTCCTTTACTACAGATGTGTAAGCAAGTAAGGCACAAAAGATCATGAAGTGCCATTTTATCAATTATAAGAAGAAAAGTAGTAGGTTTTTTATATCAAGTAAAAAAAACCACAAACACAAGCAAACAACAACAAACAAAGAAAAAAAACAGAAGAATTTTTGAGTCTGCTTAAACAAAAAGTCTTAAAGAACAGCTAATGACATAAAACTGCAATTTTGCCCATAAACTGTATGACAAAGATATGAATAACAACACAATCTTCATATTTCTAAAATACTTCTAGAATAAGAGAAGCAAATGCCCCTGTGCTTTCACAGACGTTGCAATAAATATAAACAATTTGATCGAGTACTGAACGTAACTTACTATGAAGGGAGGGGAATAACAACAAAAAACCCAAACTCAGTAGATTCGTGTAGGAGGCACATCCTGTTACAAACATCAAACAACAATGAGCCTTTATTACCACGCTATGATTCCTTTATTTCAAACATGATTAATTAACAAGTAGAACACTCACCAAAACTCCCACCACACTGCCGTTTGCTGCCTATTTGCAAATGGGTCTCTATCAAGTATCCATAAGCAGTTATTAGTTTCATTTATGACACTGAAGTAAAGAAGCCAAAGCGTCCTTCCTGCTTTAAGGAAGATTTCACTCATACCTTAGCCAGAAAAAAAAAAAAAAAAAAAGAAAGAAAAACCCTCTTTCATCAAAAAGATACCTCGATAATCGAAACACAAACTTCATGCAAAATGAAAAGCTTCTCCAAAAAGTTGCTAAACAACTCAAAAGGCTGAAAATTTGCAGAAAAAAAGATCAGGTTATACTTTGCTTTGCTGAGGGTTTTGTTTTGTGTTTGTTTTGGTTTTACTTGAAGCCCCAACTTCATATTCATTTTGAAATGCACTATTTCTGTTGAGAATGAATGTGTGGTTAATATGTCAAAAATGGAAACAAAAAGAGGATGAGAAGGAGAGAACACACTTGACAGGACTCTTAACGTATTTTAAGCTGTTCAAACAGATACCTTCAAATGTACCATAGCTCCAATAAACATTTCTTTAGGAGTAAAAGAAACTTTGTTTCATGGAGAGGTGGAAACTGAGATTACAAATACAGAACAAGAAACAAGACTGAGATGCTGAGATGAGAGAAAAAAAACCCTGAAATCGCCTTCTAAAGTTGAACTCTACCATAAAAAAAAACTCATACCATTAAAAAAAAAAAAAACACAAAAAAACAAAAAAACAAGAACCAAAAATCAAACACCAAACAAACAAATAAAAAAAACCCCACACAAACACAAAACAACAAAAGTCAACCCACAGAAAGTAATCCCCACAACACCACCACAGAAAAAGGTTCTATTTGGAAGCAACAGATGTATTCCTAAGGATAAAAAAAAACAAAAAAACCAACTAAAACCAAACTACCCACACCGAACAAACAAAATAATCTCACTGGTGAAATAATGCACAGGCATACAGAGAGGATTTTTTAAAGTATGAAAAGAGATGCATGTGTGGCAAACTTAAGTTTTAACATGAAAATAAAAATTAGGCAGAAGATCCAATACCTCCTTGGTTGACCAGTACTGTATCACAGATACTTTAAGATTTTGTCATACCCAGTGCAGTCATTTTTCACGTACAAATCAGTCCTACTCTCTTCAGCTTTTTCAATTTTATAAATTTGGGATCAAAAACATCAAAGCAACTTCCACTTTGGACCTAACTTTTAGAGGATCAATGTGACAAGTCACTGCTTGATAGATGTTTCTCTTGATAAACGACTTGTTCAAAAGAGACATTGTAGCTTTCATTTCCTGACCACAACACACTTTTAATTTGCAACAGCAGAGCTGCTCGAGTGTGACTAGTTCCCACTTTCCAGCCTTTCAGGATTGTGGCACTGTCAGGCCACATACATGGGCAAAACAAAAACTCAGACGGAGGTGCATCTGCAGCAAGAATTGTAGCAAAACTTTTCCTCAAACAGGAACCTGATTACATTTGATTTCCCAACAGTGGGATTTTAAACCCCCCTCCTAACCACCTCAAACCCCTAACATTTTAAGGAAGGGCTGGAACAGAAGACAAATTGTATTTGGAAATATATTCTTAAGTTCCATAGGATATATGTATAGCTGCCTAATAGAATTGTGTTTATTATACATATATAGATATTACTGCTACTATAATTATTATTATTATCTGGGAATCACATTTAACAGTCCACACCATCCACACCATCCAATTTCAGCTCTCAGCATACTGTCCAATTCCCGATTTAAAATTTATAAATGTAATATCCTCCTCATCACAAGCAGCAGTCCAATCTGCTCTGAATATATATTACAGCTTTAACATCACAGAGGGAAATCTCCCATCTGGCAATCACATTCGCTCCAACAGCTCTAGGAAAAAAAAAAAAAAAAAAAAATGTTCTGCTCTCGCTCGCTCTTCCTCCTTAAAACATTTCTCAGGGCAAATTATGTGCATCTAAAATAAACAGTCGCCTTATTGATCGCTTCAAAGTCAACAAGTTCTAAATGCAAAATGCAATCAGATCGTTCCCATCATATAGCACCCAGGATATGTTTAGCAATATAGTCACCTAGAGCACCAAAATTAGAGTGTACATTGTGCAACTGCTCTCTCAATTTCTTTCTTGCATTCAGATATGTTATTACGAGAGATCATCACACGCCAGACCTCCGCCTTATCCCAAACACACACACGCTTGAGCTCACTCTCTGTCCTAGGCTTTCTCTCCATCCTTATTTGTTGCTACTACACATAATTAAAAGTGAACGTACCCCCTTTTTGGTTGCACAAAACAGACAAATAGTTGCCTCTGTTGTTAGTTCCTTAGCCTTAATTGCATACTTAGAGTGTATCTACTGCACCACAAGGAGATCTGTTGAAATTCCCCATGCTCCATTTTATCTGACTTTTTTGGAGGTGGGGGTGGCGTGGGGGGCTGGAAAGTGACCGTTAAAATGAAGCCAGTTTCAGCACCTGATTATTTCATTCTATTACACATGGAGAACAGAGCAGTGGGAACCAGACACTTGTAAACTGAGCCTAAAGTACCACTTACTAAATAGTATTAAATATTCGGCCACAACAACAAATTTGTTTGTTTACATGCGAAACATTCCCCCACCCCAAATCAGTTAAAACCACTAGCAGATAATTATGCTGAAACCAAAAGAAGGAAAAGCAGCTGGAGTTCAAAAAAATGCTCAAAAACTATTAGTTCTCAAAAGGAAAATATGCATTTTAGGTATGTATGTAAGCATGTACGTAGATGTATAAGTGTACATTATCATTGCTACACATTTTCCCCTTTTCCAGTCACCGAGTTTTACTAATTTACATACCACTGGAGTTCAGTGGTGTACATAGTGCACTGCTAGTAACATGCAACTTTAGGTTTTACAACTGAGATCAATACATTGGACAAAACTAATGCCATAATTGAAGCAGAAATGATAAACAAATGGTAGCAAGAGAAAAATAAATGCCTATCAATACTCAAGTGAAAATATACTATTAAACATTAGGTATTTGTTACAAAATATTTGCATGCAGAGTCTTAGGTGCATTATCATGCTATTTAAATTTGTCTTTGCTATTTAGATGCAAAGGAAGTAGATCCCAAAACGGACATACCATAAACACTGGTGCTACTGATCATTTCTTGCTGGCAGCACAAAAAGCTGAATTGGATTTTTCACAAGCAGGAATTCCAAAGGTTGCTTTTCATTAAAGCCACTTTTCCTCTCAGCTATCAAATGTCACTGCCTTGAAACGTGGGCCCTTTCGTCAGGTATTCATTTAACCTACATGCATATAATTAAGTGGGAAAGCAACATCAACAAAAAGGGGATCTCAGATCACAAGAGAAGAAAGAAAGGGGAAAAAAAAAAAAAGCACATGACCAGGAATGCAAGTCCATGTCAATTTCACTCACTCCCATTGAAACTAACAAGAGCTCCAGGGAGGATAGTAATAGGATCAGTGGATTGTATATACCATTAAATTATACATCTTTCTCTCCCTTCCGAGCCAACAATACGCCCACCACGCTGTACCCCCTCCAAGATGATGTGCTTACATTTTACTGCAACAGCTCCTCTGACATATTCGTGTCCCCCCCTCCCCCCCAGCCAAGACACAGCAATTTAAACCGAACTTTTGTTTTGCGAGATTCTTATTTGCACTTATTTGCTCAGAAGTTAGTTGCCTCAAAGTCCAGCCCCGCGTTACCTGCACTTTATTATTTTCATGCAACTTGAAAATAAATCCAATTAGGGGGAGGAGGAGGAGGTGGGAAGGGAGCTTGCAATCGCGAACTCTTAATCTGCCTACTATTGTTGGCAATGATCAAGGAGGAAAAAACATGCACTGCGATTGTACATCTGTACTTTCCAGACTACGATTAGGAAAGCAGACCGGAGTGTTTAGTATCAGAAAACGACCGCGAATTAGGCAAAATATTTAGGGCACAAGCGAGCGATTAAAAAAATACGCGGCTGTCTCGAAGAGCTTTAAGATTAAATAAAATTTAAAACGATGGTAGGAAGACTAGGGGAGAAAAAATCCTCTTACCTGGAGATTTGGTACAAGGACCCGATAGGTTAGAGCGGCATCGATCCGACGTGTTTGCTGATGAATGGGGGCTCGGGTTAAGTGAAGGTGCCTATGATTTGAAATCATTCCAAGTTTTTGAAGGGAAGACTGACTGCAGCCTCTGCCATGTTGGAATTTCAAACCCAAAACAGCTGCTTTGCGAGGAGCCAGCATGCCAGCAGCTGGACGCCTGCGCAGAGCGCC